TTGACGGCAGGAGCATTTTAATTTTTTTCTGTCTTTTTCTTCCGCTGGCTTATGTTCTGAAGAACCGAGTGCCGAAAAACTTTCCTCCCGGACCGTGGGCTCTCCCTTTTATTGGTGATCTTCATCGCCTGCACCCTAACAGATTCCATCTGCAGTTCGAAGAGGTGTGATACAAAGTAACGATTATTATTATCATTGTTGCTGTTAAGAAGAAGAATATATTCATATAGAAAATGGGGCGACTCGTTTACTGCAAATAGGCAGCTAAAATTGTGCTACAGGTTCCCTTTATTCCTCCGTTATTGGTAATCAGTTAGACTTAGATTGGGCTACATGGGGCAGAGCAGTTTTTTTTTTTTATTAGACTTTAAAACATTCGGTAACATAACTAACAGCCTACAAGCTTAGTGTGAGCTGCATTTCAAGTCGCTGCTGTTGTCCTTTCAGCGTCTACTTTTTGCTGCCGAGTGTCCCGTAAAGAGACATTAAATATTTGTAAGCAAGCATTTCTGTTTTATTTTATTAGCTGCTTTCAGTTCTTGTTTTTGTTTTTATTTGCTTGTTTTGTGGTTGTTGTAGTTTTTAGGACATTGTATCACATGTCACACTTATCACAGCTGCTACAGTCTTAGTTTTCTTTTGGTAGAATAAAAATGCAAAAGTCAGCTGTATCAGAAAAGTTATTTCTTTTTAAATTATCCTAAAATATGCAAGTGTTGAATAACAAGCTAAATCTACTGTCGATTCAGTTTTCAGAGAAATATGGAAACATTTTCAGCCTTCAATTCTTTGGTCATAAAGTTGTGATCATTAATGGCTACAAGTCTGTAAAGGAAGCCCTGGTCCAACGAGGAGAAGACTTTGCAGATCGTCCCATAATTCCTCTGGTTGACGATGTATTTGGAAATAAAGGTGATTTCATTTCTTTTAATTACACACTTAATATTGGAGTATCAGAGGGGCACCAAGTTAGATTTATTAGCTTTATTAGTGACGATGGTGATCAACATGCCTAGTTTCTCTTCCAGTCAAAATATTTCTATTTGTATATGTTTTTTCAAAGGTATTGTAGCTTCCAGTGGTTATCCATGGAAGCAGCGGAGGAGGTTTTCTCTTCAGACACTCAGAAACTTTGGTCTGGGCAAGACGACGTTGGCAGAATTCATCCAGCAGGAGTGCCAGTATCTCACAGAGGCTTTTGCAGACCAGCAAGGCATTAAAAAATCACACTGTTTGATAGTCTAAGGAACTTGGAAAGAAAAGCGTCTGGACTTCTTTAAGTTGCTTGAAGACGTTTCACCTCTAATGATTTCCAAGCTCCTTAGACTACGATGACCTTTTTACATTTTAAATGTTTGATAATTGCTTATGACCTTATCTAATTTTCTGCTAAACATACAAAATAGAAAATTGCTCATTTTTTCTTATATAATACACGCTTTTTTGGTAAATATCAAGCAAGTTTGTCTTCTCTTTGGACATGGAGTCCATTTTCTGTCTCATCCACACTTTATTTTTATTTACAGGAAAGCCTTTTAATGCGCAGCCATTGCTAAACAATGCCGTGTCAAACATCATCTGCTGTTTGGTGTTTTCAAATCGATTTGAGTACACTGATGAGAAGCATCAGTCTATTCTTCAGGACTTCAATGAGCTTTTGTACTTGGAGGTAACCATGTGGGCACAGGTGAGCCTCCTTTAAACCACGATTCAGTAATCTAATTAAAAGGATTTATGCAAATGCATGTGTCATATTTATTTGAATCACATTATTATAAAAGGCTCTCCTTGAATTGTTCCCTTCCTGAATTGTTCTGTGTCCCAATGATTTGTATATTTGTAAATCATACATAGAGACCACTGATTTAAAGCATCTAAATCTTACTTGAGTCCAGCTTTGATTAGGTTGTTTTTTTTTGTTTTTGTTTTTTAATCAAGTTTGGCTATTAGTATAATGTTCTTTTAGGAAATACTGTGTTAGCTTTATGCCATATTTTGTCTCATCAATATATATTTTTCTAAAGGTCTTGAGGATCATCAAGATGTTGGCAAATGTGAAACAAGCCTTTTGTGTTCTTTTTGGGCAGCAGTGTTTTTGACAGTGAAATTCCCCCATGCAGTTATTTAGGTGTTCTTCTGGGTTCTTTTGTGACCTCCTGGGTGATCAGTGGTGCACTCTTTAAGTCATTTTGGTAGGCTGACCACTCCTATGAAGGTTCACTACTGTTCCAAGTTTTCTTCATTTGTGGATAAGAGCTCTGATCATTTTTGGTGGAGTCCCAGCGACTTAGAAATATCTTTATAAGCCGTTCTCAGGTGCTTTAAGATCTTTTAGCCTCCTTTACTTTGTCAGACAGGTTCTATTTAAGTGATTTAAAAGGTCTTTACAAAAAATGGGATTAATCATAGTCAATTCATGATTTAACAAGAGAGTTCTTTACTTTTTCACATAGGGACATACAGTAATGTGGATCTCTCTTTGAAAGCTAATTAATTTAGTACATTTTTATTAAATAAATAGAAATGTCATAGATATATCCATGCTGTCTGACAAGTTAGTGACTGTCCTCCTGTGCTGTAGATGTACAACGCAATGCCCTGGCTGATGAAGTGGGTGCCCGGACCTCATCAGAAGACATTTACTCTGGTCAAGAATATAAATAATTACATAGGAAACAGGATCAGTGAACACAAAGAAGACCTTGACCCATCATCTCCGAGAGACTACATCGACTCCTTTCTCATAGAAATGGAAAAGGTGAGTGTTGTCCTGCATCTCTGCTGTTTTTGTTCTTTTTACATTTTTAATGAAATGTCATCAGATTTTCTTCATCTTTGCCTCTAACAGAATGAAGGCAATGATTCAAGTTTTGATCTCAGTAGTTTGCAAGCTTGCACCCTGGACCTCTTTGGTGCTGGAACTGAAACTACTACCACTACTTTATACTGGGGCCTTCTATATATGATCCACTATCCTGTCATACAAGGTTTGTGACTGAGTAATAGTCACTATGACTACATATTCTGCAAGTATCTCAACTTTATAATGACAGCGGCCTCTTATAGATCAGCCATTTATATAAAAATTGATTGTTTCTGATGTGACATTGTATTGTGTGTTTCTGTTTAATTTTGTCTCTGGATTGGGTTTTCTCTCAAGTCTATTTTATATATTTACTTAGATTTGAATTGTTTTCTCAACTTTAAAAATCTTGACGTAGACTCACATTATTAACTGTGTACAGAAAAAGTCCAGGCTGAGATCGATGCTGTGATTGGTTCATCCAGACAGCCCTCTATGAGTGACAGAGAAAACATGCCTTATACCGATGCGGTTATCCATGAGATCCAGAGAATGGGCAACATCCTCCCACTGAGTTTGTCACACATGACAAACAAGGATACAATATTGGATAAGTACACAATCCCAAAGGTACTCATGCTAAGAATTATTTCACCAAAGCCTTTTGCTTATTTTTCTGGTTTCTGGTCATATAGCTACTGAATAACTCATTAAATTCAGCAATTATTTATTTTTTCAGTCACTTTAAAGCATAGATAAACTCAGAAAGACAGTTTTTGTGCAATATTTATGATGGAAATATCTTAATTAATTGCAGTGGGATAATGGTTAAACATAAAAAAAAACAACCACTGCATTTTGGTGCATCTGTTGTTGATTAACAAGTGTTTTACACCTCATAATGCGATACAACGCATTTAGTAGCTCTTTTGGAATATCCAAATAATAATTGCTCAACATATGTAATGGTAATTTGTTTCTCTATCAGCTGATTTTCCATCTAACCTGTTTAATTATTTTGTTCTTAAACGTTGAGATAATTTTTAAACAAACACAAATTAACTTAGCTGTTTCTTCAGGGCACCTTGATCCTGCCTTTATTGCACTCTGTACTCAATGATGAGTCAATGTGGGAAACTCCACATTCCTTCAACCCTCAACACTTTTTGGACCAGGATGGTAACTTTAGGAAGAGAGAAGCATTTATGCCTTTTTCTGCAGGTATGTCAAGAGGGCACATGTTCTGTTAATAAATATGTAGGCAAACAACAAGAGAGGTGTTTGAGCAACATATGGTAAAAGAAGTGTTACATGTTTCTGCTTGCTGTTAACTGTTCGTGAGCACCGACTTATATCTACAAACAAGTTCTTACATCACTGAGTTTGCAGGGGATCGGTGCCTCTTTTGTGTGTTTCAGAGCTGTAGTAATAATCTCTGTGAGATGAAAGCTTAGTGACTGAAACTCTTATTGTGTATTATCAGGCAAGCGTGTGTGTCTCGGGGAGGGGCTTGCCCGAATGGAGTTATTCCTGTTCTTTACCTCCCTCCTTCAGAGGTTTTCATTCTCTGCACCTGCTGGAGAGCAGCCCAGTCTGGAGTTC